CTGCCAAGACCAGGTACACCTTTGCCAGTCATTACACACCACAGATCACAACAATAATGTGATACTTGGTTATGTAATAGCTGTAAGTTATAGACTTCGATGTGACTCGTGTACTCAGATTTATGTAATCCCTGTTTTTCTTAAGACAAATTTTTCTGAAACCAAACTCAACACGAAGGAAACTGAGGTAACGCATTTGCTTTCTTGCTGCTTTTTTGCCAGTCTGTTTAAAGTGATGTTAATATGAGCTATAATCAAACGCGACCTGCAGCTGCTACCACGTACACATGGAAGTGAGACAAAATACTGACGAGAAAGACACAGAAGCAGGGACTGAGAGGCAACAACAGGAGCCAGAGAAAATATCCTGCATCGTTCATCAGGTCGTCACTGCAGGATTACATAACCGGCTTGCTCAAATCAGACAGCAGAAAGCATCATGCTATTACTTGAGACACTACACCTGCCCTGGCACATAAAACGCACAAACACATGATTACCGTGGTGTGTTTATGATGCTTAACTATGCTCTGGCCTTGCCTTAAGCACACAAACTTGACCCTTGTTGTTGTTTTTCTCCCTCCTGTCTTAGAGTGGAAATTTGCAAGTGTAAACTTTTGTGGAAAACATGTGATCCAAATGCATACACAAGGTTAGGTGCATACACTCGGTTGGCAGTTTATTAGATACACCTCTGTAAAACTAATGCCAACTAATACAACATAAAAGATAGATTTTTTCCGTTTTTATTGAAGCTTTGTTAAATGAACTGTATTGTATCATACACAGTGGCATTTTTTATTTAGCCTACCCCGACTGATATAAGTAGATAAGATAACAGAAACACATGTTACTATAATGCAATACAGTTTGATAAGCACCTCTTTCAAACAGTTTCACCACAAAGTGAACATTACAACCTTCTTAAAGATAGGATTCAGCGCAGGACCATTGTATTAGACTGCATTAATTTAGCTTAGTGTACCTAGTAATAGTATGTTATACTATTTATACAGTCAAACCAACAAAAATAATGGGGTAATAGGACTTGAAACAATATTAAGACAAAGTCTGAATAAAGCAGGACAGTGTTTTTATCCTGTGTCAATAATGGAGATGGACTTTTCTGATATGGTATGTTACCACTTAGGCTTTACTTGACTTTAGGGCTAAATGGCCAAAATAATATATATAAAAATATTTTCCAGTATTTATTTACATCACAGCATGGCATGTGCATGCAACTCACAAATAAAAGAAACAAAGCAATAAACTGCGATTCCCCAAACCACAGTAAATTAATATGACTGTCAAGTAATGCTAGAATAAATAAATCACTCAGTCCTACTTGGCTAGTGGTTAAAAAATATGGCCCTGCAGGCCAAATAGGAGTCCACAGCAACCACTGTTAACCAAAAATACCTGCTCATCTTGTCAGAACTGGCCCCGATAGCAAATGTGTAGTCAATACCCAATTGCAATGGCGAGACGTGTTTATGTGAGCACAAAACTCCTTTTGTTTCGCAATTGAGTTTCACTCCCTTCAGAAAGCTTTTTTTCAAACTACATATACAAGTGGTGAAAGATAAACAATCTGAGTAGGTCAACAGTGCACGGAGTCAAAAATGAGCAACGCAATGTCTCAAGTCAGCTAAATTCCTCTGAATGTCTTCTGCCTCCAAATTTTTGGTTATATATACCCTCATACTACCGCTGCAATACTGTCAGCAGAAAATACAAACTGATACTACAACTTAAACTAGAAGGGATTAAGGAAGTTCTACTCAGACACACTCCAATCTCATGATTTTAACCATGTTTGGTGGCAAGAAGTCTTGCAGAGAAACACTTGCAGACATACCAATACACACAAAATTCCTAACCATGCAGATTCAGAGGCAGTGTAAAACCCTGGTAGGAAATACATCCACAGATTCATGACATTTGGTTACGAAATCACAGTATTATATAATACACACTTATGGATTGGTAACATGTAACATGTAAATGCACCCTGCACTGTGTATATATATTATATATATATATATATACATACATATATATATATATATGCGATAGACTGGCGACCTGTCCAGGGTGTCCTCCAGTGACCCTAGGGAGGATTGTATAGATAATGGATGGATTGATGGATATATATATATATATGTGTATATATATATATATACACACACATACACACTTGCACTACTATACTTATACTAATATAATTAAATATATAAATCCAAATGGGCTGCCTGACTTTTTGTTTTTTAAATATGTATGGGGCTATGGTACATGCACACAGATGCAGCATAGTGAGGTTGTAGTTGCATCTATATATAGGTCACCTCAGACACCAAGGTTATTGCTACAATTGAGTAAACATATGCAAAATAAAAAAGAATGTTATAAACAGACATTTAAAGTCAACACAAACACCTGTCATACATGCATGTAGAGGGGGAAAAATGAAGCTTTTCAGACTCCAGCAGCAGCATACAACCTGCTTCCATTCAAAACAAACCTGACAGGCATCTGACGGCTCACTGCCCCCTCCCCACATGAACCCAGTAACCTCAATAACCTCAGTCACCACCACCACACAGCTTAAGCCTTGTAAGACACACAGCTAACCTTACACTGACGTCCACAGCGCAGCCTCCATTCATGTAATTTTGCGTAAACTGGCGCACATCTGTTTGACTACGAATCGCACTCTGTGCCATATTATGATATTAATACAAACACACAAACACACACACACACACACATATATATATATCAGCAATTAGTAATTTCTGACAACTTGCAAACACGGTAAGGCCGTCGTTTTATGACGTGACGTTACGAATACTACCGTGTAATGTAAAGTGATAGATGGCTGGCTGCTGTTATGTTAGCGAATGTGATCGCTGCTCTTGCTGGGAATCTACTGTAAGCTGTCATTAGCTACAGTTTGTTACGGACTCGCTTAACAAGCTATCGCAGCTCGTTAGCTACAGTCCCTTGACTTGTGGCAGACATGTTAGGGAACTAGCACGTTACAGTTCGAAGAAGCACAGTATCCCGCTAAAACTGCACAATAGCCTTCGCGACATCGTGTTAATGCTAAACAATGCTACGACGAATATATTTCATTTGTTTACATCCTCCGTTGTCTCGGGTTGGTGTCGAGGTGGGCTAGCTTATCTAGTTAGCCAACTCGCTAACGGCACCTCACATCTTCAATTTACTGATGGAATATTTTACCTCTTTGACTGCAGGCGTGTCTTAGGTTTTGTATCCTAACGCTAGGAATCTTCTGAATTGATCGCCGGTCGGTATCAGACGTCTTCTTCTTCAGTTAGATGTCAGTCACGTAGCTAAACCATCATCCATTCCGGGGCGCTTGACACATTTGTGCAACGTGAGCCCGGCAAGGCACAGCTCCGCCCCCTCTGCGGTGATTGGACGGGCTAAATTTGCATCTGCCGTGTAATTGGACAGAGCAACAAGTGGGCGTGACTAGTGAGGCGGTCTGTCAGGGGCTTCATGGCAGTTCACGTGGATCTCCATGTTACACAACAGAGACACAACAATCCCGGAGCAAACTGCGCAAGCATCGACTCACTACAAGTCCGCTGCATCTACGCCCCCTTGCTGAATGAATGAACAGAGCCGCTGCATGGTCCAGTTGATGCAAGCATCTGGTTGTCTTTTTTTTTTTTTCCCTTGAATTGACATCATAAGATTTTGGAATCAGATTACAATAAATCAAAAAAAGATTGGGGGTAATGAGCAATTTCAATAATGACTAACCAGTTTAATCGCTTTTTAAGGAATGAAAAAGAAGACATGTCAAAATCTGAATTCAAATGTGAATATTTTCTGGTTGGTCTTAAATTTCTGGGGTAGATAAATAAATATCTTCTGAAACTGGAGCAATAATCAGACAGAACAAAATGATCAAGACATTTTTCAGTACACTTATTCTGATGTTTAATAAGCCACATTGGTGCTTTGTAAGTTTAATGCTTAGCTATCAATTTCCATCCATCCATTATCTATACACTGCTTAATCCTCACTAGGGTCGTGGAGGGGCTGGCTTCCCAGCTGACTTAGGGCAAAGGCAGGGGACACCCTGAACAGGTCACCAGTCCATCACAGGGCTACACTTAGAGACAGACAACCAGCACACTCACATTCACACCTAGGGACAATTTAGAATCACCAATTAACCTCAACATGTTTTTGGACCTTGTGGGAGGAAGGCGGAGAACCCGGAGAGAATCCACGCTGCACGGGGAAACTCCATGCAGAAAGATCCTGGTGCCCCCACTGGGACGCAAACCGGCGACCTTCTTGCAGTGCTACCAACTGCACCACCTTGCAGCCCCTAGCTATCAATACAATAAACATTTTTATTCGTCTTTAAAAATAAACTTAAATGTGAGCTTCAATACAGATGTTATTGGGACAGTGACTTATTTTCCTTCTTTTATACTGAATAGTGCAAGCAAGACTGGACTATTAACTGGGGCAAAGCAGTCAGTTGTAGCAGGCACCCAGGAACTAAAAAAATACACATTGTTTATGTGGTGTTTGTGATCATTTTAATAATCGCATTGGTGGGTCGTTTGCCTCATGTTCCTTTAGAGGGTCAACCCAGTCTTAAGTGAAAGAACTGTACAAATGCCTTCTCTGTAATAATGGAATCATATCAGTAACAAAAGAAGAGTGAAGGAAACTAACCCATGCTGGATTACGTGACCGGAGTCCTGTCTGCTGTGGAAAGTTAAAAAGGACCAAACCTCATGGGACTAGCAGTTAGGTGAAGACAGCTTTCAGCATGACAAAAACATCTGACAATTATTCTTGTAATCAATCTATCTGCCATCAGTGAGTCATCGGACAGCCAATGAGCCGCTCAGCTGTGCCTCAGTCTCTCAGCCCCTTTTGGAAAGAGTAACAGCTAATATTTGTTATGTCACATATCCGAAAAAAACAGAAGAGGCTTTGATTTAAGTTAAATCCATTTTATTCAAGCAAAAGGCATTTAGGGCCAAAGAGTAGAATTGCACTTATTTCCACATACATTCCCAGTAGGTAGGCATAAGCAAGGCTGGAAGATATTGGGTCTCAAATTTCTGTGAAAACAGAAGAGGATGATGACAATTCCCTACATCTGTGACAAAAGGCTGGCCTGGAAAATCATTTCAGTGGCCTGTAAATTTTCTTCATGGCTACAGTCTGGCTATTTCTGCGTACTAAAAATGTCTACAGAGCTAATACTCATGTTAGTGTCTAACAGTATCAGTGTCATGCATGCTCTATGAAGCCCAGATAACAAATGGTTACTAGATGTCTTAAAAAACTACTGAAAAATGCAACAACAGTTCTGCTGGCAGTAATAAAGCACCAGACAGAGTGAAATGAATATACAAAGTAATCCCAAATCCAGTGTTGGTATAGCATATATCACAATATAAGTGCCAGAGTTTTTGTCCACACTCAATATAATGCATTGCCATAGTGAGCTAAGAACCGCAACAAAAATACTACAGTTTCTAAAGGATTAGTTGCACATTTAAGAGACTGCAAAAAAGCTAATGTATAGTAAAACTGAAATATCACACATGAGAAGTACTTTGCATTTATCAGATCGGATGAATGCTGCTGTGACTAAACAGAAGACTTTATCAAAGAATATGTTCAGCTGATTGATGCAAGCAGCACAGTTTGTTTGGACAGTCGAGGCATTCAGAAGGCACTACTGAATGGCTGGCACGTGTGGTAGGTAAGGTATGGCTGTACTTTTGGCTGTTCTCCATTGGAGAAACCTAATAAGACATTTGTCTAAAACTACATTTTCTTACATTGTTGTGCTTGAACATTTTAGAAAGGCATTTTTATGGCACATCCTTAGGAGCATTAATTGAGACAATTCCTCTCATTTTATACCAGTGGTAGCACTTTTGTTATTTGTAACTTGGTGGCAGTTTCTTTAGCCTTTGTCAGGCTGTGAGGTTGTTGGCCTTAGCTCATAGGCACTTATCTAATCAGAAGTGCACACTAGCTTTTACTGCAAACTAAGTACTACCTGAAAGAAAGATGAATAGGGACAGGTATGATGAAGTGTTTGAACAGTATGTTACTAGTTAGCTTTGTGTTGTTAAGTGACCAAAGAAATAGTTTTTCATGCAATCTTCAATTGTATGCCTTATTCACTCAATTAACACTTAAACATGTGCATAAAAAGAAAATAAAGGCATTAGATTTCACTGTTCACTAGTCTACTTTAACCATTCACAAACAGACCAAATTTAAAATAAAAGAAAAAGAAATGAGAACAAGAATCTAAATTTTGGTGTTACACTCAGAGAAGAGGAAATGTTTTTGTGCTGGAAAGGGGCAATTTTGATGATATGCAGGATTACTGTCACAATCTAAACTAACACGGAACAGCACATCCTCAAAAGGCACTTTTTTTTTTTTTTTTTTTTTAAGCATCACACAAAATCAGTTGCTATTAATAAAACATAAAAATGTAAATATAAGTTGAGGAGAGTTTACAATAATATTCTTCACTTCTAGCCTTGAGACTGGAATGTGTGTGTGTGTGTGTGTATGTTGTTACAAAGTCCAGGATGTTTATTTTCTACTTTTTTTATGGGCTTTACTCGAGTTTTACTTCTAGTTATGGACAGTTTTCTGTATCTATGTTTTAGTTTTCTTTGGTATGTGGGGTTGCATCCCAATGCAAGTTTACTGATCTCTGGGATGGCATATTAATACAGGGTAAAAGTACAGAATTATTATGATACTTTACTACAACAGAGGCACACAGACACACACACATACAGGGCAATCCAGGACAAGGAATGAAGACCCCTGCAGAGGGGGAAAATGTGGAGCTCAGTAACCAGTAATCATGTGAATTCTTCCTCTGAGACATGAATCATGCACATTGCTCCACTTCTCTTCTTCATCGTTTCCACTCCTCCTCCTCCTGTTGATGTTTTATGAGTAGTTCCAAACTGCGGATAAAGTAAGAATGTATTTAGACTAACTCGTTTTACCAGGGAAAGTCTGTAAATGTAACAACTAAATAAAGTTATATATAACCAGTATAAACAGTATATGGCAATGTGCAAACATTTCAGGGACTGAAAATAAGATAAGGATGTTTTCACAAATAATGCTGTACTTAGTTGTTGTTTATCAACTGACTTCATACAAACACAAAAATCAAATCAGGATTTTGCCTTGAAAGAGCACTAAATCCCTGAAGTGTATAGTTTTTAAAAGGCTCTTTTTTGCTGTGTATTGTAAATAATTTAGTTGTGGCTTCATGTTTGGGGTCACAGACATGTTTCAGTGACTCGGTGACACTTTCTGATGGCATTAAGTGACAGATTAGAATATAAAATTCTGAAATGGCCATAACTTTTGTACAGTTGTATTTATCAAATCAAGGTGAAATCTCAGTGAAGTAATTATATGTTGATGATTATACAATGTAACTCACTAAAAATCATGCAGATCCTTTAGATCATCTGAAGTCACTCAAAATGCAAGAATACAGTTGACAACAAGCTTCTCCAAATAAAAGCCTAATACTTACTAATAATGATGACAATGATGATCACTATGACAGCTATCAGGATGGCCCACATCTGAAATGGATAAAGGCAGTGAAAATTCATTGACACACTATTTAACTAGATCTATTACGTATTTATTTTTTTTAAAAGAAGAAAAAAAGTAATACTTCATTTTTGTTTCACTTCACTATTATAATTGATAAAAGTACCAACAGTATATTGTGGAGTCAAGTCCTTTCTCTGTGATACTTCTAAAATTAAACACTCAGGTAATATTTAAGGACTTTGTCAAGACCAAAAGTTCCAGCTTACAGAGTTCGGCCAATTTAAGATCAGTTAGTGCTCTGATAATTTATGTGTGTGATTGTTGGACCAAACTGTGTTTAGGCACCTTGCAGTTCTTCCACCAGTACTTCCTTTTCAGTTTAGCAGCACTGGTCTCGAACTGGGAGGCTCCAGCCTGCAGAGCATCTGCTCGGTCATCCAGTTCAGACAGTTTCTGGTCACGTTCCAGCACTTTGTCCACATTAACGCGCATAATATCCACCACCTACACACACACACACACACACACAAAAACAAGCAGCACAGTTTCTTTGTATGAATCTGAACGTTTACTAACCCTAATATGACATCATTGAAAATAAGCCTGCCTTAAAATATAGAACACTGAAAAAAATTGGGGCTGCGCCTTTATACTGTACTTATAATATGATGACATCATTGCTTCAAGTGTTAAGTAGCCCTCGGCAATGTTATGTAACAAAACAACCAATCAAGAGAGAGATCACATGTTGCAATGTAAAATAAATTAAATTTTCGACTGAAGCTTACTCATAGAATTAACCTAGGATCAGACGGACATGTATGTGTGTGCACACAGTATCACACAATACACACAACCCATATGTTCCACTGATCCACAAACCTCACTTATGCCCCGCCTCTCAGACAGACGGCTGGGTGGAGAGAAGTGTGTAGGCCCATGCAGGCATTACATAACCATAGAGACAGTGATTATATAAAGTTCTGGCTGCCAATAGGATACTATGTGTGACACACTCAGGTTAAAGTTCTATGAAGGAGGGGCTAACCTCAAAGGGGCCATAACTGAGAAATACTGAGGGAGACCAGTAAAGGAGATTAAGAGTGAGACTTGGCAGCCTTTTATTCCTGGTGGCCTTACTGACATGGTTCCGAATATAATTCCTCAAAACTGGAGAAGAAATGGCTTTTACTGAATGTCCTTTGGCGTGTGAAATGACATGTGGAGGTAGAGTATTTGAGAGCAACTGATTCCACATTGTGGTGAAGCATGACGCTGCTGCCAAGGGTTATGCAAGTTTCTGCCCGAGACCGAGATCAAGCAACAGAGGGAGTCACACAGAGCAGCTGAAGGCAGAGACGGGGAAAGGAGAGTAGGGTTCAAGGAGAGAAATGAGATAGATCAGAGAAATTAAGTCTATTGGTAAAGGTATACTATTTAAAAACCCTTCTGAAAGTAGTTCCTTAAATAAACATGCCTTGCCTGGATTACGTAATGAGTCCTGGGAGTTTAAAAATAAACTAAGGGCGTGTTTCTGTAGGTGAGCTTTGTTTAAAAATTATAGACACAAATCAAATAGTTTGTGTATTTTTAAAGGTAGGGCATACATTAACTAAGATTATTGCAAACATATCTTTGGAACCATTATTACTATCAACGTGGATGAAAATAAAAGTTTGGGACTTCAATTATATGTTGAAAACCAGCAATTACATATATCATACCTCATCCACCTGGGCCTGAGTCTGCTGCAAGCGCCTGTTGCCTGACGCTGCGCCAGAGCCTTCTGGACCGACGTTTGACCTGATAAAATGATAAAAATTAATAATTAATCTTTGACACCAATGAAATTTCTCAAGAAATGTTTTTATATATTACATAATTCAATCTTTGGTTGAAACATTAAAACCATTTGTCACTTCGTTATCAGTGGCATTTGTTTTCCATATAAAATGAAAAATACATCATTTGTAATGTCTGCAGCATACAGTATATGACATATTAATTTCTCCTTGCTAAGACTACTGCATATAATAGTCACTATAAGCAGGCAACACATGTACAATAGAATTGTTGCCAAATACCAATAGCATGTCTTTCCATGGAATTATTTAGCAAAAAAACCCCAAAAACTACTGAGCTTGTGAAACCATGTATAAAGGACGTGTTGAGGTTTTTCGAACAAGGTCGGAGTCTTTGTCTGAGGGAAGTGTCAGATACACAACAAAACCTCAAATGTGAGGGATCTCAAAGATCACCAGCAGTAACACTACAATTACAAGGTGAGCTACAGCAGAAAAATTCAGACTTAGAATTTAACTAAACAATGACTAACCATGCACAAAAAACAACACAAACATGTATATACAAAAACATTTAAAATTGCTGAGAAAGAACCCCTTACAACTCAATACTTCCTGCAGACAGCAAGTATAGTTCAATTTTAAGAGAGGACAATTTCAGTATTGTCATTGGGCTCAGAGTCGATTTTGTTCCTTCGCCACTGGCTGCACTCAGGAAACACACTGGTGTGCTTTTACTTTCCTTAGCATGTTGTGTTGATATGTGTCAGGTGTTTGAAGTTTGTGTTTTAAATTAAAATGCTATTTGAACTGCAAATGAAGAATGTGTTGAAGGAGATTCAATTTTCAATGTAGATTACACTGGAGAGTGACATTACCTAAATCTGCAATACTGAACTTTTGTCTGCTGTTACTGTCAACTCCTAGCAGTTAGAGTAATCACACAACTATTATCAATGATTTTGATGTATGCACTACTGTCAATTTCTTGCTTTTTTAAACTGTAATTCTTCCTCAGAATAATTTTCCCTAGGTTTTTCCTCCACAGGCTCCTCAGTACTCCTCGCTGCTGTAGCCTACTTTCGTCTCCTTTGCTACAGCTGCTCCCCTCTTCAGCTCTGGCGAACCAATTATTACTAATTGATGTAAAACACATAGCCACTGATGCGCCAGCATGGGAATGTCGCCACAGACTCCAGATTTAAAACTGTGGTTTACTGCAAAATACAGAGAGATTTATCTGACGCTGATAAGCTTAAAGCTGAAATATGTCATTCTAATCCAATACATTTTTTGCAGAATTTTGCAAATATCATCTCATAGCCCACTAGCTGTCCCACGTTTGTTCACAACCCTAGCTCTGTACAGTGGTTTGGACAGACCACTCCAAACACCATTTCAGACTGACCTGAGCATGTTCAAGTTTGTGCACTGAGCAGGAGGAAAGGGGAGGGAAGATGAGAGCCAATGTGTGCAGGAGGGACAGTGAATGTAGCATAAGCCAACTATCTAAATATGCTAACTAGCTAAACATTTGTGTCGATTTGTTTGGCAGCGGCTTGAATAAAACTGACTGTTTTTTTTCTGCTGTTCCACTCTGTTTCACTGTATATAAGCTCTTTCAGACACTGGATATGAAACATTGCTAGCTCTATCAATTCGTTAAAGCAACAATATTAAGTCATTCAGACATAGGTCACATTTCCGTTAGTAATCCTTACAGCTGCACTCAGTGCCAGAGAGAGCCATGGTACGCACGCCATATCAGTCACTTACGCAAGACTATACAACACACCAAGTGATGTACGATGCATTATTACACAATAACAGACAAAATCTAAACTAATAACAGCTTGTCATGGTGTCCAAAAAACTTATAGCCCAGTTTATTTCTGATTTCTTAAACAGTGAAACTGAAGGCTCAGGGCTAATAAGCTCTCCAAGCAACGAACTAATATAACAAAATTACTGGTGCGGATGTGCACAATCCTTGCTCTTTGGATAAGCACATATGGATCCCACTTCTGTCTGATGCTGTAGGTTTTTAAAAAACTAGTTCTGAACAGCTGGAGGACACAAACTTCAGCTTCTGTTAACGTCTTGTCAGGAAAAAAAACTCAGATTACATTCATTGTTAGTTATTAATCTTTAAACTGTTAGTGTCTGTTTTCATCCCAGTAAAAATGTGTTATTATGGACATTTAATTGTGGAACAGATGTGAAATTGTAAAGCAAAGGGAGCAAGTATTTCATTTTTGGCACAGCAGCTGTGTATGTAGCATTTTGTGTAATGTTTTTGTACAAACATTGGTGCTGAAATGCTGGAAAAATCCTTCCCTAAATCACTTCACACAACTGGCCTATCTGTTAATGTGATGACTCCATTTAGACCGTTGAAAGTGATGCAGAAATGTCACAAAGTTCAACTTAGTAAGATTGTTGGCATGACTTTGACGGACATGTGACCAGGTTGCATATTCATACACGAAGCTTAGACGTTCAGTTGCCATCAGAATAATGGAACGGAGTGCAAGAAAGGGGCTTGTGTGTCTTTGCTGTCTATCACCTCAAAACAGGCAACTAGAGTGAATTTAAATGGGGCAGAAAAAAGCAGGTTAAGTTCAGGTAACATTGTTTGAGTTGACAACAACTTGTTACAGCCGTTTAATGTAGCTTCCAATGCTGTGTGGATTACTGGTAGCAGCTGGATTTTTTTAGTTGGCTTTTGTAAACACAACCTCTCTGGAAAATATACACGAAGGGATGATAAATCTTTTTTAACAACTTGTGGAAACGAGTAAACAGGGACCTAAATGCAAACTATGGAAACCGAAAAAATTACACACTGTTTAATTTATTTACAATAATTTGTTAAATTATGAGAATCCCTAAATTTAATATGCATTCATTGTCCCAACAGTCTTTCTACAGTAGTTATCTACTGCCACCATCTGACCTGAGCCAGCATTGCTCTGCAATGACATCACTTATCTTGACAAATACAACGGATCACAGAAATTGGGAGGATAAGTTGGAGGCTGTATGACTGATACAGGGATTATTATGAATCATTACAAGAGAGAAGTTGGGCTGCTTACAGCATATGCTGAGACTTAGCCCACATTAAGATCTTGCTTGACATGCAAAAAAATTACAGCACACAAAAGCAGGTCCACTCATGAATGTTAAAACGCAAACAAAATATACAAAACAGTCACCATATTCAAAACATCCTTTACCATCTCTTCTAAGAAGCAAAGCTATGAATGAAAATGCTTAAAGCTAACATGTAAGGTCAATTTATTACTACTTTTTCATAAACATGTGCTCCAATTCAACTTTAAGAATCAGATTCAAAGTAAATCCAAGAAGAAGAACTAAAAAAAGACAATGGCGGTAAGCAGTGCAAAAGGATGTCTTCACATCCAACAAATCAAATCATCCTCTAAACTGCACCTGCACTGACTGACTGACCAAGACAGACCCAACCTTGACAGCCTCTTTTTCTCCTGGGAGTACATGGGAAGGAAACCTTTTGGTTTCAGTTTTATTCTAATAAATGTTATTATGCTTACATTAGACAAAGTGTATGTAGTTTGTTTTCACGAATAAAAGACATGTTTCCAAATTCTAGCCAACTTTCATGACAATTAATACTTTGGCATGCAAAGATATTCAGGAGCATGGAATTACAGAAATGTACAGCAGAGGAAGAATACTATTAGAGCTTTACTTTGTAGCATCATATGGCCATTTCTGATGTATACAACTAAAAACAAAGTGGAAAAATTCAACTCATGAAATCTGCATTCAGTATGAGCCTAGAACAGACATTCAACAGTTCATTCACATTCCAGCTGCCAATGTTAAAACAACACAGGAACACATTGTAATCAACTCAATAGAAATGACAAATGATGTCTGCTAGGAAGGCAAAGGTACGTCATTTCCTGAAGAAAAACAATCCATGATGCAAATCCTTCCAAAAGGAACACAAACAGCAACCAAAGGGGAATAGCTCAGTTAAATCTAAATGCGTAAATCCCCTTTCACACTTGCAAAGCCCAGAGCTGCATGATTATGGCCAAAATGATAATCTTGATTATTCTGATCAATACTGACAGCACATATATTAGATAGTTTCAGGTACACATTTTTTTTGTACTTTCACATTTATCCAAACAGAGCACTGTTTTCAGATTTACCAAAGCAGAACTGAAGTGATTTATTCTATACAAGCAGTTTTCTGTGAGCAGACTGCTTGCTTTTTACATCAATACTTAAGTTGGTCATGATCATAGAGATGTCACAATTTCGATTGTGATTAATGTTTGATGAATTGTTCATGTTTCCTAAAGTGAATCTTTAAAGAAGTATTTCTTCCCAGGCAACATAAGAAGCTAGAAGAAGGACTGTCTTACGAAAAACTCAGGTGAAAAAAAAAAAGTCCCTTCCCAGGTTTTTCCATAACCCATATGCTTCTTAGTGCATACAAATATGACATTACAGACATAGAGGTGTGTGTTAGTAAGTAGTGGAGAAACGTATTCAGATTCAGAAAGTAGCAGCACTGCAATATCCTTAGTTACATGATGAAGGAGATAGAGTGTACATTCAATCACCGTTTTTCAGAATTCCATTCGTTTGAATAGTTTTTCTGTTTTCTGTTATCACATTGTGTTGTTTTTCTATAACTGTTCCAACATCCCCTGTTACCCTTTCTACTTTTATTTAAAGTTCTACAATAGGGCTGCACCAAATTGGGGGGGACAAATGAATATTGTGATATTTAGGTTTTTTTTCTTAAAATGAAAAAATACTACAATTTTCACCACATGATTTGAATGACTCTGTCATGATTTTGTGGTCTCAATTTAAATGGTCAACCGCGTTAGTTGTGTTGCCTTATGTGGTAGCAACAACTGCAAGGCACTGCAAATGGCGTTCTTATTTTTGGTGAACATCCTCTTTTCTGCAATCGAAATATCTCAAGCTTACTTTTCACTGTTTCTCTCCTGTTCTTTGTTCATTTCACCAAGCACATTTGGAGCCTGCATGTCAACAAACTCTGTGTCTTGTGAATGCAATACATAAATAAATAAACCAGTGTATCAATTAACCCTTAAACTGAAGTAAATTTTGTTATATCAAACAGGCTTCTATTGTAGATTAGTCAAGGCAAATGAGAACCATGCGAGTTAACTTGTTTTTTATCAAGCAGCAAAAAAAAAAAAGATGTTGCATGATGTGTTTAAGTTAATTTGTTTGGCTTCCCAGGAGTCATTATACTTATTGTAATTCACACAATATTAGTTTAAATTTTACACAAAAGTCATGCAGCTTAATTAAGGGTGGCCACTGGAATCAGGGTGTTAGCCTCGCACGACAGAATACCCAACTATCAAGACACCAATACACCACTGGCATTAAATATCAGAAATTAAAAAAGTACAGTTCTAGACACATCCTATCTGGGCAGGAAAAAACAAAAAAACTTTAGAACATGGAAATACTAAATTTGTACAGGCCAATGTAAATTAGCAGGCAGAGGTGGAAATGGTTGAATAGATGGGAAAGGATATAAAAACAGGGAAACGTTTGAAGCGAAAGTGGGGTTTGCCTTGTTCTGCATTTCTATCAAAACAGGATCAAAGTTCGCTGAAGTTATTTATAAACATAAATCATCACTTGGTCCTAGTAATATCCCTTTAATGATCCATTTTGCTGTACAGTTCTAGTGTACTAACAACAGCCAACTTAGTCATGAGTTCATTTCCTGAACTCAAAGTGAACATCGTTGCTACGTATGTTTTGTTAAAACTTTACAGATTTCCAATTACACTTGCAACATTTACAGGCAACACCAACACACGAAATGTTTCTCAGTCTGTTTTACGTGAACAGACACGTAGCTAACCAACATCTAGGCCAACCAAACACAAACCACGTCCCCGCAGGAAATGGTAGCTTTCAACCAAACAGTGCAAAGCTAGCATACAACTTCTGTAGCATTAATGTTTTCGCTTCGGTGAACCTTATACAAGCCTGTCAGATGTGTTTTCGTGTTTTTGTCAGCTAAACAAGCAAAGAAACGTTGATATAGATAACGGTAGACGAAGTTAGAAAGTTCAAATGTAACACTGCTCTAGCTTTGTCAGCTAACTACTGCTAGCTTTCTTTGGAAAAACGAGCTAAAGTAGTAGCACTTGTTGCAGGCTAATAGCAAACTTTTGGGCGTTGTTTTAAGTGACTCAACATACTACCCGGAAGACACATGTGTTACACAAGTTTGTAAGTATTTGCATAAAAAAACAAGTTTTCGTAACAACATAATACACTTACATTGTGGAATAGAAGTTATTTGAACGACACAGCCGCTGTTCCTTGCCTGTTAGCTAAGTGTCAAGCCGTAACAGTTAGTGCCGATGGTTGGTATGATGCCTTCCAGAATATCGGAAATGTTAATTATAAGCAAAAAGCAGACTTCACACGATATTTAATGTGCCTAATGAAGCCAAGAAAGTTTTTATTTTCCTCTCTAATCATTATATAATGATGTTATGACAACTGGTACGTATTTTGTCTGTAGAGTACCTTATTGCATAATTTGTATGTAGAAACTACATTGTACAGCTTTTTGGTTTTTAAAAAAAAATCGTGTACACTTATATTAATTGTATGATAGTGCACAAAGAATCTCAGTGCTACAAGTGAAATGTCATCCATAACAGCTTCAAATGATCTGATATTATTTATAATCGGATTGAAAATTTCACATTTACAACTTGATGGGCAAAAATATGAGTTTACGACAGGTACTTGAATGCACCATTAAAGAGGCAGCGGCTCCGTGCATACCTACAATTATTAACGCATTACTTTAGATTACAGCTTTAAAGGCAGCACACACTTAAAAATGTCGCACTACAGGACGTTAGTCAAAACATCAGATGAGTAAAAACTAAAATGTGCGTATTTTGTAACCCTTCATTCATTTTGTTGTTCATGTGTACAGTACATTTGCAAGAGGAAAGCGACTATCAAGAGCCCGTGATCAGCATGTGACATATGGGAACAAAAACTAAACCTCTATTTTCAGTCCCTCCCACGGATACGTATGTCAAAACCATAACTGGGGAAAAAAATGTGACTAGCATTATTTGAAGATGTTAACATGGAGAAAGTTATTGCTGTAGCTTCAATTAAAAATAAAAAAAAAAAAATAGGAAAAAAAAGTGAGACTATATTTTTTTGTTGAGTGCATCTTAACAAGCTGATTTGTAAACAGAAACAGCACAGAATACAATGATGCTCTTTGTTTTTAAGAGAACATCCAGGGTTCATATTTACAAATTAAATGCTGCAGGCTACTGTCAGTTATGAAGTTCTTGTCCTACTTCAGTGGATTAAGTGAGCCAGTGCTAATGACCTAGTTTGTTTTAGCAGTAAGTGGATAGATTGGAATACTTAAACGACACAACACATAGCTACACTATCTCTCAGCTTTACTCAATTATCCAACATTATCCTCACAGATGTCACTTTATGGATCACTGATTAAATAAACTTGTATAATTTAAGATAAAATGAGGAAACACATAAGAAAATTTTTTTTTGTTTGAATGAGTGGAGAAAATTGAGGTGGTGATAGAATATGAAGGGGTGTCACGTCTATATGTGGTATACGATACAAAACTAGAGAAATGAGCAAAAAAATAGTATACCTTTATTACAATGTCTTTTGTTTTTTTCAAAGTTTTTGTTAGCCATTGCTTGTTTGCACATAACATGTACACAAACTTCACAACAAGCTGAATATGTTTTTTAAATGTACACTGAAATATACCAAAAAACAAACCCAGTATTAATATACTTTTTAAGCATCCTAGAATATTAGTTTGTCTCTGTATTTGGTTAAATATAAATACTGAAACAGTTTAACACGATTCCCTCTTGCATATTAGTCTAGACACCTACTTTCCCCTACATCCAACTCAGTAACATAGCGACTTAAAACAATAATAACTCGAGGTAACAAATGAAAAATACTCTCTATATAATCAAGCTCAATATTTTCACTTAAAATGTCCCTCTTCATTCTAGAAATGTTCAAAATTTGCAGTTTATATTAGAGATTATATTTAGCCTATAATAATGTATTCGTACAGTTGTCATTTTGTTGTTTCTCTACACAGATGCAACCAAACAAAGTTGACCGTGGTGCCAGGATGCTTATGGGAAACCCAAAGCTTCTTTTTAACGTCATCATCTTGTGCTCTCCTTCTTGGCTACATCCCAGATCCTTCATCCAGCACCGCTTCTCTGCCAGGGACCAGCTATAGGACAAAAGCATTTTAAAGCATAGTGTCACAGTGTTTGTTTATTCAACAGCATTATAAAATTAGGATGCAACACCAAACTACTCAAACTTACATAGTTTCTTTCTTTCTGGGAAGCACCCCCATCATACAGCAGGATGGATATCTCCTCCTGTAAATGAGTTGTTACATACACATACATAACCACATTCTGTGCCTTATACACAATAATGTGCTTTTTTCAGTGGGGTTTGTGTAAAAAAAAAAAAACAACATATACAACATGACAGCAACCCTACTTGATCACATTCCACCTCTGCTGGCTTCACTCTGGTCATCTGATAGGTGCAGCAGGTGCACTAAGTAACAAAGTCAATGGTAATGGGCTTTAATACACGTTACCATCACTGTGTCCTTGGCATGTAGGGACACACTAATGGTAAATGTCTCTGTGACTTGCTTGACTAAGTTACACCTTATCTCTGTTAAACAGAGGACTGCTTCTCAGCTCTTAAATCCAGTTTCTGGATCATGTCTTTGTTCCTGATGTTTCATGTGGATAGAATTTCGCTCTGCCGCCCAAACAGGGACGTGGCCCACTTTTAACTGAAGCCTTCCTGTTGACATTGTCTATAGTTACTGACACTTACACTTGTTTTTCAGAACTGCAGAGCAGAATTCAGTGTGAAGATGTTTCAGTTAGAAAATAGCCAACTTTGTCAATCTTAACATTTGTATTTTATTGTGTAAAAACTTTGGCATTGATTATGTTAAAGGACAATATCAACAGATTACAACAAAAGAAAATCATTGATTAATTACATAATTAGCACAGAATGCATCTACACGATTGTGTCCCTCCATAACACGGAAAACAGTTAATCAAGACTACTTCGTCAATGTAAAAAAATAAACAAAAAAAAAAACTTTCTAATATTAATATTTATGCGGCTATCAATGTTGTACAAATCTGTCATGTAGACCTGTGTTTTACTGTAATTGCCAACCGTCTAGCAAAGAAACATTGACAAAGTTTGTGATATAGTTTCTGGTATTTATACTGTTATCTTACACTATCTGGTCCAAATAATCCGTGTTATCTGTTATACACATAAAACTGTAATTGTACATTTGTTTTGCATTTTACGCTTACTTACATATCCTGCATTCACTTCTATCAGCTCTTCAGTCTCGCTGACCTCAGTGCTGCAGCCTCCAGGAAAACACTCCGCCGTGCGCTTCTCTCTTATTTTTTGCAAGAAGTCAGAAGCTATTGGTTTTCTGAGCAATGCTGCCACATAAACAGATGAAACAGACGCATTAATGTGGCCCAGAAAACAGCTGAAAGATTGCATTTCCTCTTGAAATCTCATTCATGTAAAGTCATAAAAACATTTCACCTCCTTCACAGATGCAGGTAATCATGAGCATCCCAGCCAGCAGCTTTGCAGCCATGTCCTCTTGCAGACTTTTCATCTGTCACACACTTCAGTATCGTGCCCAAATTCAGCTGCTGGCACTTTGTGATTGTCACCTGAGAAATCTCCGCTCCACCCACAGTTGTCCCGCAGGAACAACAGGCATCAGGCAGATTTGTACTGAGCAACTTGAAAAAGGCAACTGTGGGAGGGAACACATCACATCTATGAGTACTGTGCTGTCCTTGGAGTATGCTGAAATGTTTTTAAAACATTTTAAATATCTAAATAAAAGGTTCAAAAAAAAGAAAAAAACTTTGAATTTGGCATCAGGGGTAACTTTTCTTGCAGTGGAATTTTCTGTGGCATCCACACAGTAGAGAAGAATTTTAGAGGTCGAGCTTTGAGAACTAAAAGTGTTCATGTTCCAATCTGTCAGTGAACACATCGAGATGAGCAGCGGCCTTTTTCTAGACAGTACATACAACCATCAGTCAATTATTTAGTGGCGATTTTGAAAAAGAAAAGAAAAAGCAAAAAATAAAGGTAAAAACTGAAATTTCCAACATGTTGAAGAAAAGACTGTATTCTTATATAGACTGGAAGCCTCTTCTGTTAAAAAAAATAAGAAAAAAGAAAATGGGGGAAAAAAAGAAAAGAAAAACTTCCTGGTAGCTTAAGAAATAAGAGAAAGGGGCGGCCCTATAGCTCACCTGGTTGAGCAGACAACCCATGAACACGGGCTGTAGTTCCCTGAAGTTGTTAACTCGACTCCCGCTCACGACAATTTGCTGCTAACCCTAACCCCTCCTCTTCTCCCGCCTTTCCTGTCTCACTCTCTCACACTGTTCTAACTAAATAAAGGCAAAAAGGCCAGAAAAAATAATAATTAAAAAAAAAAGACAGAAAAGGAAAAAGAACAAAAACATTTTAGTGGCAGATGGTTATTCTCTGCAATCCCTTTTCCCTCACCCCAACCGGTCAAGGCTTTGGTTCTGCTGGAGTTTTCTTCCTGTTAAAAGGGAGTTTTTTTCCTCTCTACTGTCACCAAATGCGTACTCAATGGGAAATCTTTGAATATGTTGGGTTTTACATATATTATTTGAGGGATTCCCCAAATAATATGTGTAAATTTGTATATAATTATATGTTATAATATATAATAATATACTAATTATTAAATATCCATCCATCCATTATCTATACACCGCTTAATCCTCACTAGGGTCGTGGGGGGCTGGAGTCTATCCCAGCTGACTTAGGGTGAAGGCAGGGGACACCCTGGACAGGTCACCAGTCTATCACAGGGCCACACTTAGAGACAGACAACCAAGCACACTCATATTCACACCTACAGACAATTTAGAATCACCAATTAACCTCAACATGTTTTTGAGAACCCTCGCTGCAACATCACTGGGATGCGAACCGGTGACCTTCTAGCTGCGAGGCAACGGTGCTACCAGCTGCACCACCTTGCAGCCCATTATTAAATATGAAAAAATAAAATGATTATAAACTAACATTATTTATTAAAGAAAAGAGAAAAAGAAAAAAAAACTATCTAGTTTCACTGGAATACTTTCATCAAATTAAAATTTGAGCTTGTTATGTCTGTATGGTGGATCTTCATATATGGGTGAGGATGGTAGTCAAAGCAACCAGTAAACCTGATACATTACATGCTACATGATACATATCATAA